CTGGCTGTGGAATTCTGGGAGTTGAAGTCCACATGCCTTAAAATTGTCAAGGTTGAGAAACACTGCTCTATCGAATTGCACTTGCAATGTTATTGATTGGGCTACCTCGTTTCTTATATTTTTAAACATTTTGAATGGAAATCTGACAAAATACCAATCTTAAGGCAGGCTTAGAAAAATAAAAATGGTAGCAGGCTGCCATCTAGTGTTTGGCTTGAAAAATGCGCCTACCTAGCCAAAAATCAGGCATTTGGGGGAAAAAAAAACCCACCTTTTTATTAGCTCATTTCTAGCATTGTTCGTAGAGCGAGGTGTCAATCTGAAGGTAGTTTGCGGGACTGCACACGACGGCGGAGGAAGTGATGGAGAAAGAAGGTTAGAAAAGAAATGGTTTGGGAAGCAAGCGAGGGCATCTGTGCAGTGGTGAGTGGGGCAAGCTCTCCAGCTGTGCAGAGGCAGAGAAATGCGAGGGAGATGGAGGGAAGGCGCTTTAGAATAGAATAGAGCTGGAAGGGACTTTGGAGGTCTTCCAGTCCATCCCCCTGCCCAAGCAGGAGAACCTATACCATGTCAGACAGGTGACTGTCTAGCCTCTTCTTAAAGAGCACCCATGATATAGAATAGAATAGAATAGAATAGAATAGAATAGAATAGAATAGAATAGAATAGAATAGAATAGAATAGAATAGAATAGAATAGAATAGAATAACAGGAAAGAATAGAGAACAGGATAGGATAGGATAGGATAGGATAGGATAGATTCTATCCTATCCTATCCTATCCTATCCTATCCATCCTATCCTATCCTCTATTCTTTCCTGTTATTCTATTCTATTCTATTCTATTCTATTCTATTCTATTCTATTCTATTCTATTCTATTCTATTCTATTCTCTATTCTTTCCTGTTATTCTATCCGATAGAATAACAGGAAAGAATAGAGAATAGAATAGAATAGAATAGAATAGAATAGAATAGAATAGAATAGAATAGAATAGAATAGAATAGAATAGAATAGAGCTGGAAGAATTAATTAACCTGTAAGAATTAATTCCGCTCTCTTTTAATAGCTAAAGCCATGGGAAGTTAAGAACCACCTGTCATTAAAACCTAGAAGAAAGAAAAACTTTCTAAGGAAATCAGGCACTTCCACAACTCTGGAAAACTCCATAGATGTCCTCTCCAGGAGCCAAGCTCAACCTGAAGGCCTCAACCTCTTTACCTTTACCTTGTTAAAAATATGCAACATATTTAAGTACTGGAAAATCACCACTTAAAATGTGGAAATTCTACAGCCGTCAGGAAATTTCCAAGGGTAATAATTCTGTTTATTGTAGCAATAAGGGCATCAGGCTAGAGACTGGGAGAGAGTGAGTTCTAGTTAGGCATGAAAGCTGCTGGTTGACTTTGGCCAATCACTAGGAGGCAGTGAGTTCTAGTCTCGTTTTAGGCACAAAAGCCAGTCGTGTAACTCTGGGCCAATCACCAGGAGATGGTGAGTTTTAGTTCTGCCTTAAGCATGAAAGTTGATTGGGTGACTTTCGGTCAATCACCGGAAGACTGTGAATTCTAGTCCTGCTTTAGGCATGAAAGCCAGCTGGGTGATTTTGGGCCAAACAACAGGTGATTGTGAGTTCTAGTCCTGACTTAGGCCCAAAAGCCAGCTAGATAACTTTGGGCCAATCAACAGGTGATTGTGAGTTCTAGTCCTGCCTTAAGCCGGAAAGCCAGCTAGATAACTTTGGGCCAATCAACAGGTGATTGTGAGTTCTAGTCCCGCCTTAGGCTTGAAAGCCAGTTGGATAACTTTAAACCAATCACCAGGAGATGGTGAGTTTTAGTTCTGCCTTAAGCATGAAAGCTGATTGGGTGACTTTCGGTCAATCACCGGAAGACTGTGAATTCTAGTCCTGCTTTAGGCATGAAAGCCAGCTGGGTGATTTTGGGCCAAAGAACAGGCGATTGTGAGTTCTAGTCCTGCCTTAGGCCCGAAAGCCAGCTAGATAACTTTGGGCCAATCAACAGGTGATTGTGAGTTCTAGTCCTGCCTTAGGCCCGAAAGCCAGCTAGATAACTTTGGGCCAATCAACAGGCGATTGTGAGTTCTAGTCCCGCCTTAGGCATGAAAGCCAGTTGGATAACTTTAAACCAATCACCAGGAGATGGTGAGTTTTAGTCCTGCCTTAGTCATGAAAGCCAGCTGGGTGATCTTGGGCCAGTCACTCTATCTCAGCCGAAGGAAGGAAGCAATGGCAAACCACTTCTGAAAAATCTTGCCAAGAAAACGGCAAGGACAGTTTTCGCCACGAGTCAGAACTGATTTGAAGGCAGAAAAATAAAAATAAATCGTGGTCTGGATTCTTCCCAAACTAAGTATGAGTTGAATAACTGAAGAGAATTCTTACACCTGGATTGCAACGTTGACTTGAAGTGCTTCAACGTGACGCGACACGCAAGGGAAAAGCAAAACAAAACAAACGCAAGAACATAGCTGGACCAGCCTCCCTGAGGATGAACAAATGACAAGATGCTGCGTGTTTAGTTGGGAAATAATTTAGTTTTGCTGCCATAGGTAGTGCGGCATTTCATTCCGTAATCCACTGGCAATCATAAATAGGTATAGGTATAACTGATAGAAGGATAGGTTGGTGGGGTCACCACAGTGAAAAGATTTAGTAGAAAAGTTTTCAAAAGTTGGGTCTTCTGAACTCCTAAACATCATTTAACTCAGTGTTTGTCAACTTAGCAAGTTGAAGACGGGTGGACTTCAATTCCCAGAATTCCCCAGCCAGCCATGCTGGCTGGGGGATTCTGGGAGTTGAAGTCCACCCATCTTCAAGTTGGCATGGTTGACAAACACTGAGTTAAATGATGTTTAGGAGTTCAGAAGACCCAACTTTTGAAACCTTTTCTACTAAATCTTTTCACTGTGGTGATCGACTTGACCTTTGCTGATCTCAAAACTTAGCAGGGCTACCTTGGTTAGTACAGACAGTCCTCTACTTACAACAGTTTGTTTAGCGACCGTTCCAAGTTACAACGGCACTGAAAAATGTGACTTATGACCGTTTTTCACACTTAGAACCATTACAGCATCCCCTTGGTCCTGTGATCCAAAGTCACACACTTGGCAAGTGACTCGTATTTATGACAGTTGCGGTATTCTTGGGTCAAGTGATCCCCTTTTGCGATCTTTTGACATGCAAAGTCCATGGGGAAAAGCCAGATTCACTCAACAAGCGTGTCACTAATTTAACAACTGCAGTGATTCACTTAACAATCGTGGTGAAAAAGGTTATAAAATGGCTTTTTATGGGGTAAATCTCACTTAAGAAATGTCTCACTTAGCAACAGAAATTTTGGGTTCCATTGTGGTCGTAAGTCGAGGATGACCTGTACTTTGATAGAGGACCACCTGAGAATTTCAGGCTATTGATTAGATGGGAAGTTGAGAAGCTAAACAATGGAAATTATTTCCATATTGTTACAGAATCCAACAGGGATACAGCCTCAGAATCAGTGTGAGGTTATCTCTATCTTTCCCTTTGATCCAGCAAGCTAAAAACACCCATGAAACATGCAATGTTTCCCCAGGATCTGGATCATGGCTTGATTCAAACATGAAGCCATGTTGGAGAACATTTTTTTTCCTCAGCGGCTACAGGAATCTGATTTTTAACTTCCTTAAAACTCTGATTTTTAACCTCTGGGAGCTAAACCAATGATAGAAACATTGCTGTGGAAAAGATGGAGGTGAAATTTGTTTTGGGGAGGGCTGGTAAATTACACAACTGAGTGTAAATACACACACACACACAAATCCAACACCCTGTTGGTTGCCGACTTTTGTATTCAGGTGTTTAACCATAGCTTATTTGCTAGTAAAGTGCAATAACCAGGTAAGGTAGTCCTCAACTTAAGACTACAATTGGAACCCAAATTTCTGTCGCTAAGCAAGGCGGTTGATAAGTAAGAGGCCCAATTTTACAACCTTTTGGGATTCACTGAACAACTGCAGTGATTCAGTTTCGAAGCAAATCACTGCAGTCGTTAAGTGAATTATCTGGTCATTAAGCGAATCCAAATTCCCCTACTGACTTTGCTTGCCGGAACCCAACCGGGAAGAGCACAAATGGAGATGATATGATGCTGCAACTAAATACATGTCAATTGCATGAATTTTGATCATGTCACCGTGGGGATGGCTGTGGCGGTCATAAATGTGAGCCCTGGCCACATTTTTTTCAGCGCCGTTGTAACTTTGAAAGGTCACTAAATGGTGGTAAGTTGGGGACTACCTGTAAGAGACAGACAACCTTTGCAGACTTTAAGTAGCCTTCCCAAACATAAATGAAAATCACGGGGTTTTTTGGCGGGATATTTTGTGTACAGCTGCCAAAAGTGAAGAACACAAAAGACTGAGGGGGATTTTGAGGTGACTTTTTTGTTGTTAATGTGAGGAAGCTACCTGAGGAGGGATGCTGGGCAACAAAGCCAATATTTTGGCCTTCAAACTGATCAGCGGGAGTCTGATCTACTCAGGCCCAATACAGGCTGTCCTCGACTTATAACACTTCATTTAGTGACCATTCAAAGTTATAATGGCACTGAAAAAAGTGACGTGTGACCGTTTTTCACACTCACGACAGTTGCAACATCCCTATGGTCACATAATCAAAATTCAGATGCTTCATATGCAACCTTGGCCCTAACACGGGCACACAAGAATACGGGCAGCATTCTTATGACCATATCTGAGCCCAAAATTTCTGTTGCTAAGCAAAGCGGTTGTTTAACACTCCATTTTATGACCTTTCTTGATACAGTTGTTAAGTGAATCGCTAAATTAGAAACACGGCTGTTAAGTGAATCCAGCTTCTTCATTGACTTTACTAGTCATAAGGTTGCAAAAGGAGATCACATGACCCCCCCGGGATACTGCGACCGTCATAAATACTAGTCAGTTGCCAAACATCTGACTTTTGATCACGTGACCACAGGGATGCTGCAACAGTCGTAAGTGTGAAAAACAGCCATAAGTCACTTTTTCCCCCAGTGCTGTTGTAACTTTGAACGGTCACTAAGTGAATCGTTATAAGTTGAGGACAACCCCTAAGCGGGTTTCCCTCATGATGTCTTCTGAAGGTGAATCACCAATTTCTATGGGGCAAGAGGCCTACGTAATTCCGACACAAAAATCCAACACATTCCTGTTTGCAGAATTTAGCAAATCTGGGTTAGTCTTTTAAGTGAAAAACTAGCCTGACCTCCAGTTAGAACCCAGGTCTGGATTAGAACATGATTTGCAAAGTCAGCTCCAGGCTGTAGCTTGTGACACGACGCAACGACGCAACAGCGCGACGATAGACGGCCGTCTGCCGAGAGAGCTCTGCCTATTTGTAACGAATCAGCCGTATAATCTTATTATTCATAAAATCTGACGCGTGTGGATGAGAGGAGTCCACGCAAAAGCCATCGCTCATGGCGATCTTCAGCACTTCCTCCACAAAGACCTGGAAACTGTTAATTTGCTTCTTGGTGGGCAGGACCCACAACCTCTTTAAGTTCTGCCTGGTGTATTCTTCTTCGGGTAGACCTTCCACGCTAGCCACCCAGTCCAAGGTGACATGATAGGGGTCTTCCAAGTAGCTAGTGATGGAGGCCAGGTTGCCATTGAAACAGTAGTAAAGTTTGGAACCCAAAAGTTTGAGGAACAAACTGGAGGTGCTGAAGATGTGGGCGCTGAACACTTCCATGTTAGACGAGGACAAGCTGTAGATCTGAGGAGCTTCCCGGACGGTGAAATGAACGATTTGTGTCCTCTGATCCAAGGTGATGTTGAGCATCGCGTTCTTCTCGGCTTTAGAGAGCTCCAGTTCCTTCTCCTGTAGAGCTTCAATGAGCGGTTGGACCTGGTAAAAGTCTGCTTCCCGTCGAAGCAAACCCATTTCTTGGAAGTCCTCAGGAAGGTCCAGGTGAGAAGTTCTCAAGAAGTTGAGGATGTAGCGGAACACTTTGCCATCTCGGTCAATGAAGCAGTGGCCTTGGCTGTCTCTTTTGGTGGGCATCTTCCCGCTGAACATGGCGCCCAGCATGGAGTCTGGAAAGCTGGTCAAAGTGGAGAGGGACGTCGTGTAGAGCTTCCCGCCAACGTTCAGCGTTATGGGTTCCGACATAGCTGGAAATGAAGCAGATCTAGGAGAAAGAAGGAAGAGAAGGAGGGAGGGAAGGAAGGCAGGCAAGCAAGAGGGAGGGAGGGAGGGAAGGAAGGAAGGCAAGTGAGCAAGCAAGAGGGAGGGAGAGAGGGAGGGAAGGAAGGAAGAAGGAGCGCGAGCAAAAAAGATGGAGAGAAGAAGAGAGGGAAGGAAGGAGAGAAAGCAGGTAGGAAAGGAAAAGAAAGAAAAAGAGAAGAAGAAGAAGAAGAAGAAGAAGAAGAAGAAGAAGAAGAGGAAGAGGAGGAGGAGGAGGAGGAGGAGGAGGAGGAGGAGGAGGGAGTGAGGGAAGGAGAGAGAAAGACAAGTGAGCAAAAAAGATGGAGGGAAGGAGGAAGGGAAGGAGAGAAAGCAGGCAGAAAAGAAAAAGAAAGAAAGAAAGAAAGAAAGAAAGAAAGAAAGAAAGAAAGAAAGAAAGAAAGAAAGAAAGAAAGAAAGAAAGAAAGAAAAAGAAAGATCAAATTATATTAATTCAATTTTTTGCATTCCAGGTCGTCTTTGATTTACGACAACATTGGGACTGGAATTTCTGCTGCTAAGCAAGGTGTTTGTTAATTGAGTCACGCCCAGTTTTACGCTGCCCCACATGGCAGCCGACATTTGCAGCCTTCCTCCCAAGATGGCTCCCGAAAGCAAAGTCAAGGGGGGGGGCAGATTCACTTAACCACCGTGCCCCCTACCTCAACCACTGCAACAATTCACTTAACCACTGCAGCAAGGAAGGTCGTAAAATGGGACAAAACTTACTTAACAACCGCCTCGCTTAGCAACGGAAATCCTGGTCCCAGTTAGTCTTGTTCAGTCCAGGTCTACCAGCAAATAAATGTGCTCAGGAGTTGTCCCTTTGCAAATTCAAGGGGGTTGTGTGCTGACACTCGAGAGCCTTATAGTTATATATTAATCCGATCTTTAAAATGTGCCAGAGATTGCCCTGTCACAAAACCACACAATCTTTGCAGCAATTTCCTATGTGGCAAAGTGGAGGCTTTGTGTTTTTTTTTTTTTTTTCTGCCACTGCCCCAGTTGTGCGATCGCTCTTGGTTAATGTATGGCTGGCGACAAGCTGCTTGTATGGTTTGACAGCGAATCAAAATGTCTTCTTTCACGGAGCCTTTTAATTGAATTTTGGCTGCTGTTATTTTTGCTGTCTTGCTTTTAAGAGGCTGCGGGTCGATGGAGTCCTGCCCTGTGCCCTTGAATTGGGATCGTTATATTCATAATAAAAACAGGGTAATAATATTACAGTATGTGGAATTAGATTAACATCCATCTGATCCAAACTTAGGATTTGGGGGCTGATGTTTTTTCTGCTCTGAAGGATAATAGTAATAATAATAATAGTAATAATAATGATGATGATAATGATGATAATAATAATAATAATAATAATTGGAAGGGAGGTCATCTAGTCCAACCCTCTGCTCAGGCAGGAAACCCTATACCATTTTGGACAAATGGCTGTCCAGTCTCTTCTTAAAAACTTCCAGTGTTGGAGCATCCACCACTTCTGGAGGCAGGTTGTTCCACTGGTTAATTGTTCTCACTGTCAGAAATTTCTCCTTAGTTCTAGGTTGCTTCTCTCTTTGGTTAGTTTCCATCCATTGCTTCTTGTCCTGCCTTCAGGCGCTTTGGAGAAGAGCTTGACTCCCTCTTCTTTGGGGCAGCCCCTGAGATATTGGAAGACTGCTATCATGTCCCTCCTCGTCCTTCTCTTCATTAAACTAGACATACCCAATTCCAGCAACCATTCCTTATATATTTTAGCCTCCAGTCCCCTTATCATCATCATCATCATCATCACCATTATCATAATTATAATAAAAGTTAGAAGGGATCTTGGAGGTCTTCTAGTCCAACCCCCTGCTCAGGCAGGAAACCCTATACCATTTCGGACAAATGGCTGTCCAGTCTCTTCTTAAAAACTTCCATTATTGGAGCATTCACCGCTTCTGGAGGCTTCCTTAAATAACTTTTTGTTTCTTCCTACTTTTTTAAAAAAAGGTTTTTTTTTCCCCCCCCCACTGCCTTTAATCCTCAATCTGGGGTTAAAAATTTATCAGCTTAAACATCAGGCGCTTCCAAAACAGCTAAAAGCCAAAGTCTTCTTTGCTTTTTTTTTTTTTAAATGCAGAAAAAAACAAATCTAAAAATATCTTCTGTGTGTTTCCTACAGTTAAAGTGGAGGAAGAAATATTATGCGGTGGGTATATTTATATCTTCAAGAATATAGAACAGCCATACAGGTGATTAGTTTCGACTTACAACAGTTCATTTAGTGACCGTTCAAAGTTACAGCGGCCCTGAAAAAAGTGACTTATGACCCTTTTTCACACTTACGACCTTTGCAGCATCCCCATGGTCACGTGATCAAAATTCAGATGCTTGGCAACTGATCCATATTTATGACGGTCGCAGAATCCCGGGGTCAGGTGATCCCCTTTTGCGAACTTCAGACAAGCAAAGTCAACGGGGGAAGCTGGATTCACTTAACAACCCTGTTACTAATTTAACAACTGCAGTGGCTCACTTAACTGTGGCAAGGAAAGTCGTAAAACGGGGCAAAACTCCCTTAACAAATGTCTCGCTTAGCAACATAAATGTTGGGCTCAATTGAGGACTGCCTGTATCGACCTCTTCCAATTGGCTGGCCCCTAGGTCATCCTCCAGCAGGCATAACTTGTTTTCCACAGATTTTACACATTTATAGGCTGCGGCCTGGTAGTAGGCCGTGGCCTCCTGGCCACCAGGCCACGGGACAGGCTGCCCAGTGTGCGTGCGTGTACACCACCTCACTTGTGCTAGCATCGCAGCCTCGGAGCGTGAAAACGCGCCACCGCCACGCCTCAGGGTGCAAAAATGGGACACCGCTAAGGCCGTGAAAACAGGACGCCGCCATGCCTCAGCTGCAAAAACGGGCTGCTGCCACAGGGGCGCCTCAGCGTGTGAAAACAAGATGCCACCGCCACGCTGTAAGGCGCAAAAATGGATGATGTTATGCCATGGGGCACGGAAACGGGCCACCGCCACGCTGTAAGACGCAAAAATAGATGATGTTATGCCGTGGGGCACGGAAATGGGCCACCGCCGCACTGCAAGGTGCAAAAATGGCCGCTGCCGCCCCGCAGGGCATAGAAACAAGGCACTGTGCCACATAAGAACAGGCCAGAGCTATTGAGATCACGCCGGCACTAGCTCTGCCCCGTTTGCGGGGCGCACATGCTCGTGGCTCCAAGTGCACGGGCTCACGCACGCATGTAAAATGCTTCCTTCTCTCTTTTCCTCCAGTCTGCCAACTGAGAAAGGTCGATGACCTCTGTTACAGGAGAAACCGTAATTTAATAGAAAAAGGCCAGTAAAAGTCATAGGTTGAATTCCAGGCCTTTTACGAAGCCAGGATTGTGTAAGATCACAAGCAAACATCTTGTGACCAAAGTAGTCTTGCACAATCCTCCAGAGGTTTCCACTGTTCCTCCAGTAGAAAAGTGAGTTTCTCTCAGCCCCTTGCACCAGAAAGCCTGTGTGTGTGTGTGTGTGTGTGTGTGTGTGTGTGTGTGAGTGTGTCTGTGTGTGTTTGGATGTATGTGTATGGATAAGAAGTAAGATTTGAATTTTCAGTAGTCCTCGACTTACAACTACAACTGAGCCCCATATTTCTGTCGTTAAGTGAGACATTTGTTAAGTGAGTTTTGCCCCATTTTACGACTTTCCTTGCCGCCGTAGTGAAGTGAATTATTGCAGTTGTGAAGTTAGTAACATAGCTGTTAAGTGAATCTGGCTTCCCCCCCTATTGATTTTGCTGGTTGGAAAGTCACAAAGAGTGATCACATGACCCCAGGATCCCCTTTTGCGACCTCCTGACCATCAAACTCAATAGGGGAAGTTGGCTGCAGCGATCCACTTAACCATTGTGGCAAGAAAAGTCGTAAAATGGGGCAAAGCTCACTTAACGAATGTCTTGCTGAGCAGCATACATTTTTGGGCTCAATTATGGTCATAAATCGAGGACTGCCTGTGTTGCGATTTGCTTAACAACCGTGGCGAAAAAGCTTATAAAATCAGGCATTTAGCAGCAGAAAATTCTGCTCCCAATTCTAGCCATAAGTCAAGGAATATCTACACTTGGCAGGCTATGTTGATCAACCGAGGCTCACAAGTCAGCCCAAAATTTACGTGGCTAAGCGAGACAGTTGTGAAGTCAATTTTGCCTCATTTTACGACCCTTCTTGCCACCGTTGTTAAATGAATCAGTGCAGTTATTATGGGAGTAAGACTGTTAAGTGAATCTGGCTTCGCCCACTGACTTTGCTCGTCAGAAGTTTGCAGAAGGGGATCACGTGACTCCCTCCCGGGGACACCCCAACCATCGTAAGTACATGTCAGTTGCCAAGCCTTCAAATTTTGACCACGTGGCCCATGGCGATGCTGAAACGGTCGTGTGGAAAGCGGTCCTAAGTCACTTTTTTCAGCCCCGTTGTTAACTTCGAACGGTCACTAAACAAGACAAGGACTACTGCAGAAATACAAAAGGCGACTGAGCAAGGCCAGAGGGAAGTAAACCAGTATGTCTACAAGGATTAGAAAAAAAAAAAAAAAATCCCAGCCACTTTGAAAGAACAGCTAGTCAGAACAGCCCATAGCCTTTAATCTTTTCAATTGCTGGCTGGATAATTAAAGCTCTGGAAAAAAAAAAATCAGTACGCACTTTGGCACACCCACACCCTCGCACAACGGAGCTGCCAGATTTCAAGAAGAAGAGTTCTATTTCAAGTAACACGATGCATTTGAAGTTCTCAATGGGCACAGTTTCTGCTTTGATAAGGAAAAAAATAAAAAATAAAACCTGAACAGGCTAAAGTGCTTTGGGACTTTAAAATTCAAACGAACAAATACATTCCACATAACATCCCAGTCTATTGCAGACAGCTGGTCATTTGCCTTTTTTTAGAGAGCTGTTGAGGCCACTTGGAGCCTTGTCTGTGTTCATGGGGGTCACCTGAGTGGTGCAAATGCATGTGGAGTCTTTTTGGAATTGCTGAAAGGACTGTGTTGTATAGATAAACACAGACAGATCTCCAGGTGGCCTCAACGACTCTCTAAAACAGTGGTTCTCAACCTGTGGGTCGGGACCCCATTTGGGGTCGAACGACCATTTCACGGGGGTCGCCAAACAAGGCTGTCCGCCATTTTTTCCCCCTTTTCTTTGGCCACGCCCCTGGCACCTGGTGATGTATAAGTGGTTGGGGGTCACCACAACATGGGGAACTCTATTATGGGGTCGCGGCATTAGAAAGGTTGAGAACCACTGCTCTAAAAGAATGCAAATGACCAATTGTCCGCAAAGGACTATAAATCCTTCCATTCCCCACCATCCAGTCAGAGCTGAAGAAGCTTCTTGGATGAGAAGCGAAACACCTTCAGAGAAAAACAAGAAAGTCCAGTTGCCTCTTTAAAAAAGCACCGTTGGGATAACTTTGAATTGTCACTAAACAAACTGTTGTAAGTTGAGGACTGCTTGTAGAAACAGAACACCTGTGCCAAAAGAAAGTACAGATAATAATACCAAGGGTGATACTTTGGTACAACCCAAAACAACCCGAATACCATTTGAACACCATCAGCGTTAACAAAATCTCCATCAGTCTATTGCAAAAGACAGTTTTACTTAGAATAGCTAACACCAGGGGTCTTCAAACTTGGCCCTTTTATGACTTGTGGAGTTCAACTCCCAGAATTCCTCAGCCAGCATGGGGGAACTATAGCCCCTTCATGACTTGCGGACTTCAACTCCCAGAATTCCTTAGCCAGGCATGCTGGCTGAGGAAGTCTGGGAGTTGAAGTCCACAAGTCATAAAAGGGCCAAGTTTGAAGACCCCTGGCTAACACCATTGAACAACAACATCTGCCCATCCCAGGTCCTTGGGAAGGGCTTGATAGGTGGATAAAAATACCAAATCCAGTCTTAACATCTAGCTGACTCTGCGACAACCGTAATAATTTATTAAAACGGTATGCTCCCCAACTAACTTGTGCAATCTACACCAATGTTTTTCAAAGTTGGTCATTTTAAGGCGTATGGACTTCAACTCCCAGAATTCCCCAGCCAGCTGGAATGCTGGGAATTGAAGTCCATACCTCTTAATGTAAGACAGTGTTTCTCAACCTGTGGGTCGGGACCCCATTTGGGGTCGAACGACCATTTCACAGGGGTCGCCAAACAATGCAGTCTGCCATTTTTTCCCCCTTTTCCTTAGCTGTGCTACTCCCTTTTATTCTATTGGCTTTTGAAAGCCAATAGAATAGACTCTCTTGAATAGAGTCTAATTCTCTTGGCTTTCAAAAGCCAATAGGAATTGTCCAGGCTGTCTCTGCCCTGCTGAGCCCGCCAAAAGTCCCATTCTGCAAACAGTGCTGCACCAGTTGAGTAGTCCTCGACTTACGACCGGTTGAGTAGTCCTTGACTTACGACCGATTGGAGGTCGTGGCATTAAAAAGGTTGAGAACCACTGATGTAAGAAAACCAAGATCATGGCACCCAACCCTCTCAATTCCTGGCAAACAGGTGGCGAAGAAATGGAGGTAGTGACAGATTTTATCTTCCTGGGCTCCAAGATGGGGACTGCAGCCAAGAAATTAAAGGACGCTTGCTCCTGGGGAGGAAAGTTATGGCAAATCTAGACAGCATACTAAAAAGCAGAGACGTCACCCTGCCAACAAAAGTACGCACAGTCAAGGCCATGGTTTTCCCAGATGCAATGTATGGCTGTGAAAGTTGGACCATAAGAAAGGCTGAGCGCCAAAGAATTGAGGCCTTTGAACTCTGGTGCTGGAGAAGACTCCTGCGAGTCCCCTGGACTGCAAGGCGTTCAAACCAGTCGGTCCTAGAGGAGATCAACCCCGACTGCTCTTTAGAAGGCCAGATCATGAAGTTGAAACTCAAATACGTTGGCCACCTAATGAGAAGGAAGGATTCACTGGAGAAGAGCCTAATGCTGGGAAAGATGGAGGGCAAGAGAAGAAGGGGACGACAGAGAAGGAGGTGGCTGGATGGAGTCACTGAAGCAGTAGGCGTGAGCTTAAATGGACTCCAGAAGATGGTAGAGGACAGGAAGGCCTGGAGGAACGTTGTCCATGGGGTCGCGATGGGTCAGACATGACTTCGCAACTAACAACAACAATCTCTTAAAGTTACCAAATTGGTAAAATATTGCTCTAGGGCAAAAAGATGTGGCTGCTTCAGGTCAGCTTATGTTTCGAGGTGCACCATAACCCTAATTTCAAACTAAATTCATATGGAAATTTACTCTGAAGTCCCACTATAAGAAACTTGGGCAGGGGTTTTCTTGCATGTAGCCCCCCCCCACAAGTCTTACCAAACAATCTTCTTTCAAGGGATTAGGGTTTGTGTAAAATTTGTCGCAAACTGCTTAGCTTGGGCCATCATCTGGGTTTCCAAGAACCTGTGAAAGGGGGAGAGAACAGACAGTTATTGTCTGAAAACTGGATTATTATCCCTAAGGCAGTGGTTCTCAACCTTTCTAATGCCGCGACCCCATAATACAGTTCCCCATGCTGTGGTGACCCCCAACCACTTATACATCACTGGGTGCCAGGGGTGTGGCCAAAGAAAAGGGAGAAAAATGGCGGACAGCCTTGTTTGGCGACCCCCGTGAAATGGTCGTTCGACCCCAAATGGGGTCTTGACCCACAGGTTGAGAACCACTGCCCTAAGGCATAACTAATGCTAGCGGAAAGACTAGGAATTGTATGACATTTACTGAGCCTCAGATAAGGTTAGCTGTTTCCCTTCAACCTTTGTTCCTAATGGGGATACCTTCCAGACTTCTGGACTTCAACTCCCAGAATTCCTTGAGCATTGTAAAGAATTCTGGAAGTTGAAGTCCATCCATCAAGTTTGCCAGTTAAGCAAACAATACTTTAGACCGGTGTTTCTCAACTTTAGCAACCTTAAATTCTGTGGACTTCAATTCCCAGAATTCCTTGGGCATTGCAGAGAATTCTGGAAGCTGAAGTCCACCCATCTGGGTAGCCCAGGGGTAGGCAACCTTGGCTCTTTTATGACTCGTGGACTTCAACTCCCAGAATTCCTGAGCCAGCATGGGGGAACTATGGCCCCTTCATGACTTGTGGACTTCAACTCCCAGAATTCCTCAGCCAGCATGGGGGAACTATGGCCCCTTCATGACTCGCGGACTTCAACTCCCAGAATTCCTCAGCCAGCATGGGGGAACTATGGCCCCTTCATGACTCGCGGACTTCAACTCCCAGAATTCCTGAGCCAGCATGGGGGAACTATGGCCCCTTCATGACTCGTGGACTTCAACTCCCAGAATTCCTCAGGCAGCATGGCTCAACTTGGAAACTCTCCCTTTCCCCTCAGCAAGGCTGGCTCAGGAATTCTGGGAGTTGAAGTCCGTGAGGCATAAAAAAGCCAAGGTTGCCTACCCCTGAGGTAGCCAGTTAAGCAAACACCTTTAGATCGGTGTTTTTCAACCTTAGCAACCTTAAGCTGTGTGGACTTCAACTCCCAGAATTCCACATGTCTTAAAATTGCCCAGGTTAAGAAAACTGTGCCTTAGACAAATATTTGCCCATAAAAGAAAAGAAAAGAGAGATCAGGAATTGGACCATCTGCACAGTGCCGCTAAAGTGGATGGGGCCACATCACATTTGTGGGTGCAATTGACCCTTAGATGGACTTTATGGGGTTCCTTTGCTGTAGAATAAGCAATTTACTTGTGGCTCAGAAACTTCATATATAAATGATTCTGTGAATGGAAAATTTCCCCCAATAATGACAAACAAATTTAATTTCTGTATAATTGACATACTCTTGACAGATGGTCCTCGACTTACAACTTCCCCCATTGACTTTGCTTGTTGGAAGCTGGTTAGGAAGCTAACCATTATCAATAAATCTAAGTTGCCAAGCGCCCTAATTTTGATCATATGACCAAGGGGTTGGACCAGATGATCTCCAAGGTCCCTTCCAACTTTATTATTATTATTATTAACTGTCGTAAGTGTGAGAACCGATTGTAAGTCATTTTTTTCAGTGCTATCATAACTATGAACGGACGCTAAATGGATTGTTTGCATGTTGAGGATTACCTGTACTTTTCTTTCAAGGCAGGTAATTTGTCACACCCTTAAAGTGGACGGAATTACAGGTTATTCCTTGATTTACCCTCAACAAAGGAGGCCAAAACTTCTATGGCTAAGGAAAACAGTTGCTAAGGCAGTTTTGCCCCTTTTTTGTGACCTTTCTTGCTCTAATTGTTAAGTGCATCACTGCAGTCGTTAAATCGGTCACACGGTCGTTAAGCGAATCTGGCTTTCCCCCCATTGACTTTGCTGGTTAGAAGGTTGCAAAAGGGGATCACGTGACCCCCCCCCCCGACTCTGCAACCCGTCATAAATAGGAACCAGTTGCCAAGCATCTGGATTTTGATCACCTGACCCTGGGGATGCTGCAACGGTCGTAAGTGCGAAACGCGATTCTAAGGCCCTTTCTTCGGCGCCCTTGTCCCTTTGAACCGTCACTAAACGAGTCGAGGGACTACCTGGTATTTGCAGTTGGGTTGAGTTCTTGTGTGGAAGTTCCTTGAGGCCTTCCATTTCCCCCAAAATAATCTGCATTTACCCACCGAGCAGGAAAAAGCAGGCTGCGACTCAGGGCAACGGGCAGGGTGGGAGTGGATGATGGGCACTGTGATCCCAAGGATTTGGATTGCATCCGTTCAGCCTTGCTCCTTTGCATATCGTTCTGCCTTGCGCGCGCGCACACACACACACACACACACAAACTTTGATGGCACCAAAACTCCCAGGATGGGAGAGGAGACCCCCCCGGAAAGCCATCCCGCAGGGGCCCACCTGGTGCTGAGCCAGCCTCCCATTCATTGAAGGATCTCAAGCCTCCGCCTTCCCTCCCCCCCTCCCCCAACTCCACCGGCTCCGTGGCAACGCCTACCTTTTCTCCCCCGTCTGTCAATCCGCAGTCACTCCGGCGCAGGTGAGAAGAGATCGCGGTGGGGAAAAGGTAAAGGCGAGTGAGCGGTGGGAGGGAAGCTCGATTTGGAAAGAGGAGCCGGAGGACGGAGAAGGGGGGGGAGGAGCAGGAGGAGGAGGGAAGAGCCGGCCGGGCGCAAGGCTTCTCGGGAAATGGAGTTCTCCGGCGCCTCTCCGGCCCGCTCCGCCTAAGGGGGGCTCTGGGGAAAAGCGAGCGATCCGCTGCTGTTAAAGGGGACGCGAGGCTGGGGTTGCAAAACTGGAAGGAGAGAAACGAGAGAGAGATTGAGAAAGAGAGAAAGGGAGGGAGAGAGAGAGAGACAGAGAGAGACAGAGAGAGATGGGTAGATGATGAGTAAAGAAAGATAGTTATTGAGTGGAGAGAAAGATGGATGGGTAAATTGATGAAAGGATAGATTTTGGGAGAGGGGGAGGTAGATAGAGCATAGATATAATGTACACGGCCTAAATACACTTTTTGTGAAATGGGCTGCTATGTAAAATAGATAGATGGATAGATAGATAGATAGATAGATAGATAGATAGATAGATAGATAGATAATGAAAGAGAGTTAAGAAAGAAATCAGAAGTGACAGGAGTAATGAGATAGATGGATGGATGGATGGATAGATAGATAGATAATGAAAGAGAGTTAAGAAAGATAGAAATCAGAAGTGACACGAGTAATTAGATAGATAGATAGAGATAGATAGATAGATAGACAGATAGACAGACAGACAGATAATGGATGGATAAAGAAATAGACATATAGGTAGGTAGATAATAGATGGATAGATAGATAGATGGATGTATGGATAGATAGATAATGAAAGAGAGTTAAGAAAGATAGAAATCAGAAGTGACAGGAGTAATTAGATAGATAGATAGATAGATAGATAGATAGATAGATAGATAGATAGATAGATAGATAGATAGATAGATAGTGGATGGGTAAAGAAATAGATAGATAGACATATAGGTAGGTAGATAATAAATGGATAGATAGATAGATAGACAGACAGACAGACAGATATGAGTGGATAGATGGATAGAGCTGAAGAAGCTTCTTGGACGAGAAGTGAAACGTCTTCAAAGAAAACAAAGAAAGTCCAGGTGCCTCGTGAAAAAGCATTTTTGGGATAACTATGACTTGTCCTGGAGGACTGAGAATCTCCACTGATAGATAGATAGATCGCGAGAGAGAGAGAGAGAGAGAGAGAGAGAGAGAGAGAGAGAGAGAGAAGGAGGGAGGGAGGGAG